GTCAGCAACTCATAAGGAACATTCATGCCATGTTTGGTTCAATTCCATTCAGTGGTTCTCTAAAAGAAGACAATTGTATGTATTTCCCATAGGGTCCTATGTTAAACTAAGTCCCCCGCTGTCGGCCATCTTGGATGATGGATCGGCTGCAAAGTAACAACACTTGGTCAACATCTCATAAGGAACATTCATGCCATGTTTGGTTCCATTCCATTTATTGGTTCTCTAAAAGAAGACATTTTTATGTATTTCCCAAAGGGTCCTATGTAAAACTAAGTCCCCCGCTGGGGGCCATCTTGGATGATGGATCGGCTACAAAGTAACAACACTTGGTCAGCATCTCATAAGGAAGATTCATGCCATGTTTGGTTTCATTCCATTCAGTGGTTCACTAAAAGAAGACATTTGTATGTATTTCCCATAGGGTCCTATGTTAAACTAAGTCCCCCGCTGGCGGCCATCTTGGATGATGGATCGGCTACAAAGTAACAACACTTGGTCAAAACCTCATAAGGAACATTCATGCCATGTTTGGTTTCATTCCATTCAGTGGTTCTCTAAAAGAAGACATTTGTATGTATTTCCCATAGGGTCCTATGTTAAACTAAGTCCCCCGCTGGCGGCCATCTTGGATGATGGACCGACTGCAAAGTAACAACACTTGGTCAGCATCTCATACGGAACATTCATGCCATGTTTGGTTCCATTCCATTCAGTGGTTCTCTAAAAGAAGACATTTTTATGTATTTCCCATAGGGTCCTATGTTAAACTAAGTCCCCCGCTGGCGGCCATCTTGGATGATGGATCGGCTACAAAGTAACAACACTTGGTCAGCACCTCATAAGGAACATTCATGCCATGTTTGGTTTCATTCCATTCAGTGGTTCTCTAAAAGAAGACATTTGTATGTATTTCCCATAGGGTCCTATGTTAAACTAAGTTCCCCGATGGCGGCCATCTTGGATGATGGATCGGCTACAAAGTAACAACACATGGTCAGCACCTCATAAGGAACATTCATGCCATGTTTGGTTTTATTCCATTCAGTGGTTCTCTAAAAGAAGTCATTTGTATGCATTTCCCATAGGGTCCTATGTTAAACTAAGTCCCCCGCTGGCGGCCATCTTGGATGATGGATCGGCTACAAAGTAACAACACTTGGTGAGCACCTCATAAGGAACATTCATGCCATGTTTGGTTTTATTCCATTCAGTGGTTCACTAAAAGAAGTCATTTGTATGCATTTCCCATAGGGTCCTATGTTAAACTAAGTCCCCCGCCGGCGGCCATCTTGGATGATGGATCGGCTACAAAGTAACAACACTTGGTCAGCACCTCATAAGGAACATTCATGCCATGTTTGGTTTCATTCCATTCAGTGGTTCTCTAGAAGAAGTTCAAAATGTAAAAAGTTAACGCCGACGACGGACGACAGACGCCAAGTGATGAGAAAAGCTCACTTGGCCCTTCGGGCCAGGTGAGCTAAAAAAAAAAAAAAGGGAGCTTATTTCAATAGATATAAACAAGTCAAAAAAGTTTCTTGAAAACTGCTCAAAGCGTTTTTGAGTTATTGGCTGAAAACTGGAAAATCCCCCCTTTTTTATGAATAAAGTCCCAATACGTCAAAAAAGTAAAATCAGAAATTTTTAAAAATCAAAAGGAAACTTATGTCAATATATTTAAACAATTCACCAAAGTTTCATGATAATTTCTCAAAGCATTTATGAGTTAGTCAGAAAAATTTGTAAGGGGTTCCCAGGAACCCTGTGTCTTGCCTACAATTGCTGCTGTTGGTGTAAAAGTGTAATGTCGACTTAAAAAGTGAGTCTATTTATCAGTAAAATACAGAATTTAAAAAAAAAATTAAACATTTTCTTTAGATGCTATTTCTTGGTCTTGAAGATAAGCTTCTGTCCAAGTTTCATAAGAATCCATGAAGGTTTACAAACTTATCATGTCAAAAAAATTTAATCCCAGATAGTCTGTAAATGTAAACTGTAAAAAATTAAGTCCATCTATCAGAAAAATACTGAAACTGAAAATATATAGGATCACTATGTCTTGCTTTCGCAACATAAATGTTGCAGGCTCGACAAAAATGGAAAATATCCCCTTTTTTTATATATATATATAAAATCCCCTAACTTGGAAACGTAAAATCTAAAATTTATAAAAATAGAAAGCGAGCTTATGTCAATAGATATATTAAAACAATTCACCCAAGTTTCAGGAAAATTGGAAAAGCGTTTTTTAGTTATTGTCCGAAGTGTTGACGACGGATGGACAGACGGACAACATAATATGTCCTGTCTTAGATAGGCATATAAAAACCTTTCTTTTCAATCAATTTCATGTAAGGAACATTATAAGACAAATTAATCACTGTATTTTTCTCAAAGTGATGTAATTGTGAATTATCAGTTCAAATATAATTATTTCTGTTGTTTGATAAGCTGGATTTCCATTGCAGTGTTCTCCCCAGAATTTTTTTAAGGCGCAAAATTCAAGGGCGCGTAACTCTTTTTTTAGAGTGAACGTTTGTGATCTGAAGCAATAAGTCATAAATCATGACATGCAATATGTATTATAATGCTTTGTGTTATGTGTTTAATAATGCAGAGTATTAATGAATTACAAGAATATATATATGAAATAAATTGATTTTAAACACAAAAGTTATCTATATTCAGTCAATTAAAGAAGTCAAAATATAAATATTCATCTCTACTCTCTGCTCCTTCTAGGGATATTGTTTCAAGATAGTGTTATTTTGTTGGACAGTCTGTTCCTCAACTTTGTCTTTATCCTCTTCAGGGTTAAAAATTAAACCCCTACTCACAATAACTTTTGCTTATACCCCCTTTAACATTTCTAAGCCATGAAAACTCAGTCAGCCACTTGTCATTGAAACCAGAAACATGGTGCTTGCTTTTATCAATTGCTAAAACTTGAGCTTGGTTGGGATTAGAAGCAATGAAATCTGCTTATACTGACAGTGTAGACGGAGGTGTATTCCCCTTTTCATTAGAAGTCATTGGTCTGAAAAAAACTTCTACTTCCATCATCTACCATTTGCCTATAATTCACCCCTTTGTTATTTGCAGAGAACATGTTCATTCAGAATTAATAAAATCGAATAGGGTTAAGATATTTGGTATACAACTTTTTAAAACAATTTTTTTTTATAAATGAACAGCTGACCAGTTTCCGTAGTTTCATATTACGCTTCCGTGCGTATTATAATTTGTTTAATCCTATCTTTGGCAGATAGATATAAACGAAACTTTACAAATTCGTTAAAGTTAAAACCATTGAAATTATTTACCAGTGACATTATACAGAAGCTGCGGCGATTCTGTACCCGTGTTGATTGTCACATATTTCCCGACGCACGGATTCACGATCGTTGTTCAATGATCATTTTATTTCTAAAAATATGACAGTTTCAGACGAATTTACCTTGCAAGCAACATTGTTTCACTTTCTATTAAAGTAAATCACTCCTCGTTATCTTTAATCAAACTTTATTTTAATTTTTTCAACTACTAATACTTTCATTCATAGTTTCCATCGTAAATATCTTTAGCAATGTGTATTCAAATTTATCATGTGTATTCAACACGTTCATTGGTCGTGTTTAAATAGATTCTTCTTCTCCACCAATGAAAAAATTCGTTATATAAATGGTCAAGTGATCACACACACGATGCGTAAATACAATGTATTTGCGATCTATTTCTTCAATTTCTGCACTTAAGTTTTATAATTTTTAATTTTCTTCAAAAAATATCTATCTTCTTGATGATCATTTACGCTATTACCTGATAACATAGTCCGATAAGGCTGAGATAAGCGTCGTAAAACTTATTATCAGTTATTGCGTAACACTGACCGACCCATCAGCGGTGATCAGTAACTTGACAATTTTAACCAACATTTATAATGAAAATGTGAAAATTAACACGCTGCGGGATCAAGTATTAAGGGACAGCGGCCAATTAAGACGCTGCAGGATCTACAAAAATATTATGAAGGCGCTGCGGTACCGCAGCGTCATATCGGCCTGGGGAGAACACTGCATTGTTCATGGTTCTGCACATCATGATTGCTTCTAAATGTTATAATACAATTCTTTCGTAATGATAGTTTGTAATGGATGCAATGCAGGCAAAAATTACATAAATAGATAGCATGTAAAAAAGTTTAAAACTGTATATACATGTATTGCCTGTTAGACAGAACAAGTAGATCATCTCAAGAAAACAGACAAAAAATTTAAACAAGAGAGGCTCCTAAGAGCCTGAGTCACTCACCAGTAAAAATTTTGCTGTTTTAAGATTGTGCCTATCTATTTTAGTTGGCAAACACTAGAAATAAGAAACAATATTCATTTAAGGCCAGTTTCTTATATTTGGAATCATTCAATGATAGCAATATGTTTGCTATTAACAATTTTCTGTCTATCTGTTATAGTTTTAGTAAAGATCTCGCCTAGACCTAAAACATTTCAAAATTACAATAAAAGAAGAATGTGCCTGAGGACACAAATGCCCCTGCTCAAGATTTGCAATTTTCCAAGTTAAAAAGGGCATAACTCTAGAACGGTAAGTGACTTATTGCCCAGATCGGAACTCTTGTCTGCATATTGTGGTTCTTAGCATTGTGTATGAACACATAATTTGGATGAGGAAATCTTAAGAGTGCGGAAAAAAAATAGCAATTTTCCAAATTATCAATGGAACATATCTCTAGACCTGTAAGTGACTTACTGCCCAGATTCGAACTCTGTCTGCAAGTTTTGGCTCTTAGCAGTGTATGAGGTTCATAAACTTTGGATGAAAAAAACTTGAGTGCGGAAACGAAAATGAGACGGATGGAGGTTCAAGGGTAACACTTAATGCCCCTATTGCCTTTAACAGGGGCATTGAAATGACAATACAACGTGAAACTGTATCAGATCTCCTTAAAATACATTAAATATATAAACTACAAACATTACCTTCATAACTCTGAAATCTGATCGTAGTTCATCTGTTAAACCAGTCATGTAACATAACTCTGGAATTAAACAGATGTTTTCACATTGTTGTTCCATTCCCTGAAAAAAAGGTAAGTCTTTTAACTCCATTTATTTAGTCAACATAGATATGAAACCATTTTGAGTTCTTTATTGAGAACCATCTTCACAGCCCTTTTTATTCCATGAATCAAAATCTCAAGTGGGGCAAAGATGTAAATATTGACAGTCAAATATTATTCTCTGTATGAGACAAAACAGATAATACAAAACTTCATAACTAAAACCTGGTCTAGACTTTGCAATTACCTATGAAAGATTTACTTCTCTCATGTATGATTTGCATTATGTGGAAATAAAACCAGTCTGGAAATAGGTTGCACTGCTTAATTAACAATGATGAAATTAAATAAATTCATGTATAAATTTCCTTGATTGATTGTTGTTAGATTTATGTCCAGTGGCAAATACATGTGTTTGACAAACATGCAGTAGAAGTGTGATGGTGATTGAAATCAGTCACAGTGAAGCTGAAGCAGACCCAAAACCTTATTACTTAATATCTAATTTGTGAAAATATGTAATATCTGGGGGAGACAAAACAAATATGTCCTTACATGCACATTATGTTTAATACATAACCTGTTTTTAGGTTTATTGGAAGTAGATGCCTCAAAGGTGTAAAAATAAAGTAGTTAACCCTTATAAAGCAAACTATACTAGATGAAGATGCTGTGATATGCAAAAGTTAAAGAAAAATAAATATGATGAAAATTCTGTTATATTTTTATATTCCCAGAACATCTCATTGAAAGGCTGTCCATGAAACTAAGAAGATACTGCAATGTGTCACAGAAAAGCGACAAATTGTTAAAACATGCATTACATATTGTGTACACACTTGGTTTCAGCAAGCACACAATACATAGTCAATGAGCATGATTTTAGGTCATACAAAACTCTTGATGCAACTCACTGCCAATATATAGTGAAAAGAAATATTTAACATACATTATGAGCTGTAAATGTCTGAGAGACAAACAGATTTTAGTGTTAGCTATGATGGAGGCTTGCATATATAGTTTTAATGATCTCCTAGAGAATGAATGTAATCTGATCATTTAATATGACAGGACTCTTATATATAATACTTATATATACCTGAGGTGTTCTCTTCTTTTTCTGTCTGTGCAGAAGAAGTGGCTGTTGATCATCTTGAATATTTTTATTGTAAGCTTTCCTGTAACATTATCATAACATTTTTTAGAAGGCCACATCCACCTACAGCTTATAAACTTGAGACTTTTCTAGTCTTTCCACCTTTCTATGGGAAAACATTTTGATAATGTTTGGATTAAATTACTTTTATTGGAATTTTCATCTATATCTTGACAAGTAAATAAACAATGTTCTGATGATTATCTTCAGTTCTTTTCACCTTTTATACATGGTAGAGATAAATTAATACTGATTTGGTTTGTTCTAAGTTTTTCTTTCTTGCAATAAGCAGTTTTATAATGTGATTTTTTTGCTTTTTAATTTATGTATTTTTTTCTTCCCAGCTTTCCATATTAAGGAAGAATCATCATTTTTCTAAACCTTTCCTAGGACACTTTCAAGTAAGTTTACATTTCTTCAAATAAATTTTCGTTCACAATTTATTGAAAAGAAATCCGATCTTATACACCTTATCGCTATCTATTCCAATCCAGATAAGTTCTAAAATTACACAACTTTTTCAAACCAGTTGAAGCTATCTTGTTCAAACAATGTATTTTGCAAAAAACTTTTCATAGAGACATATTAAAACCATTGTAAACACATCAAACAAAGTATTTTTAATGACTTTAATTTGTCTTTTAAAGATTGCTTCATAAACTATCAAAATTTTAAAATGTTCACTTTCCAAATTTTGTCCTCCCTCAGCTCATTACTGATGACTTGTTTTTGAAACATTTAACCGCAACAGGAAGTGTCTAATTTAAACTGTTTTTCCCGGATTGGACTAAATAGCAATAAGGTGTATTGCTAAGTTTGTTCCAATTGTACCTGAAACAGAGAGGATGGTTTTTGAAAAATAGTAAATACTGAAGCAGTTGGAAGAAACAATACCAAATTATGATGATAGAAATAAGTCAACTATAAAGCTTTGTCATCCATGTGAATGTGAATTTTTCTTCTCAAGAAAAGTGAAATAAAACTAATATCATACACAATGTTAACATCTTCCTGTTTGAACTATCAAATAACACTTACTTGTAATACTCTAGGAAAGTCATAGACTCTCCTGTATTTTTACAGGGGAATGAATGAGCAGGACTTTTATCCCAGATAATATCATCTATGCGGTATGTCTTATTGTTATATCTTGTTAGTACCACAGTCCCTACAAGTTTTTTTACACATTCATCTTGAAAGCCACTTGAATTTCTCTGTACAATTTGTTGCCTGAAACAAACAAAAGAGATCCATCTTAGATTGTAAAGCTTCAATTATTTGAAAATTTACCAAGAGCATAAATGACATTGCTGAATGCATCTTATCTGAGTTGTCAAATAAGTTGTCTACCTGCATAACACTTTATATGACATTAAATATTATCAATGATGAACCGCATAACACATGCTGTGCCCATCAATAAAGCGAAGGGCTTAAAAACAAAATAAATGAGATGAGTTTTAAAATTTTGGACTAAGGTGTAATTTAAACAGTAGACTAGGCTTTAATATTCATAAGTATTTATGTAATTATTCCTTTATAATTAACTTTTGAAAGGATAAGGTTTGTTTTGGAACTTTTTTACCCTGTCATTTGAAATGAAAATAAAATACTGCATGATACCAATACCAATCATATTTTCTAAGCATCAGAAGAAAGAATTTCAGAAAAAGTGAATATAAGCCAAATAATTAGACTGTGATGTCATAATCAAAATATGAGGCAGATTTTTTACAAAATAAAGGCTGATTTGAAAAACATTTTGGCTACATTAACATAGAGCACAAGTATTTCCAAAAATAATTTTTTGCCTGAGAATAGATAAACACAAAATACACCTTATTGTGTAAATTTCTTTTTGGTTGCCACCTAATATGCTCTATATTATGTCTAACTATTTGGAAGTAAAATTGGTGAAATTTCAGGTAAATTTCATTATTTTTCTTAGGTAAATCTCATTTTATGGCTGTATATCCCATGAAAAAGGTATATTTTTAACCAAAACTAATGTTTTATTTTAGTACAGTACAAAGATTCAACAATTCAATATTTCTCCTTTTTGAAGAAAACAAATACATCATTGAAGATCTTCCTGTAACAAAGATGAGTAGGATGACATTCATGTCATTGTCTTGTACCAACCATTTTTTTTTATAAAAAAACAGATAAGTATGAAAAATTCATTTTGAAATTTTTCAATAATATAACCAAAAGATGCATTATTATCTTATAGACAGTCTGCACTGTTAGCCACTTGTCTGATGCCCCAGACTAGTAAAACTTTATTCAGACTAGTAAGTAGTTGCAAGGTTTTGTTAAGAGGAATAAGAAAAATATAGGAATTTTGGTCTTCGGACTAGCAGCTGGAAAAGATTTTGGTGCAGACTGTATAGACCGATGTACTAACTACTGAGCCTAAAAAACATCAATCGGGCTTATTTGGACTTATCTAGTCAATGACATGTGGAACCCATCACCTTTTATATTGTAGGGATATTTAAAAACCTATTTTGGCCAACTATACCATAGTTATCTAATAACACCCATTTTTACAACAAAGAAGTATATTAATAATCTCTCATAAAAATGCTTTGGTAAAATGCAGACTTACATCAACTCTAGAACTGTTTGAGTTCTTAGAACTCTGTGGCTTGCATCTGCAAGCAACATCAATCCTCCTTCATTTTCACAAACTGAAGTTATATAACCAGGCCAAACCTCCAATCTGAAATCAGAAATAGAAATGATATAATGAAACATATCTATGGTCATATGAATTTTAAAAACTCATCAAAATTGGTAAGAGTATAGTTAATAAGGTTTGTTCTGTTGATGCCAACAGAATATAAAAGTTTGCAAAACATCAGAATGTAAAATATCCTTTTTGATTTTAGCTTTATTCAAATTAAACCAAGAATTTGGATTTTAGTTTTTAGAAGTACAATGTACACAAAATTATTTGGATGCCTGCATTTCAAATTGTAGCACCCAAGATGACAAATAGATATTACATCTTTCACTTTAAAAGGTAAAATTAATTTTCTGTTTCCCAAAGATGATGCAAAATAGTTGATTTTATTCAGTTTACTCACTTGTGTTGGGGAACAGCTGATGGTGTCTTTGGATTGTAAAAATAACGTCCAACTTGAACCATTTGCAATATATACATAATTCTAAAATGAAATATCAAATAAATCAAACAAAATTGATTATTCAAATAAGAGCACTTCGAATGCAGTATAAATAGATACAAAACTTCTTTGGAAGACACAAGTTATTCAAGTTTCTTATTTTGCTATGAGGGACTCCAACAAAAATTGGGTAAATAACAAACAAGAAGGTACCTTCACTTCTTGTAGAAGTTGGTCCAAGTAGTAGATAATAAAATGCTTCACTGGGCGCAGCTTGATACGACCGCAGAGGTCGAACCCTGAACAGTTGGGGCAAGTATGGACACAACATTCAAGCTTGATACAGCTCTGAATTTGGATTGTGATTAAATATTTGACACAGCATAGGTTTCTGACACAGAAAGAATGTGGTCTAAGAACTTCAATTTTTTTAATTTACCTATTATGGTCCAATGCCCAAAATCAAAATACATGGTTAGATTCAGCATATCAAAGAACCCCATATATTCAATTTTTGTTGAAATCAAACAAAGTTTAATTTTGGACCCCAACTTGGACAAACTTGAAAACTGGTCCCATAATCAAAAATCTAAACACATGTTTAGATTCAGCATATCAAAGTACCCCAAGAATTCAATTTTTGTTAAAATCAAACTAAGTTTAATTTTGGACCTTTGGACCTTAATGTAGACCAATTTAAAAAACGGGACCCAAAATTAAAAATCTAAAAACACGGTTAGATTTGGCATATCAAAGAACCCCAATAATTCAATTTGTGATGAAGGTCTAAAACCACTAATTTATAGCCCCATTGCTTTCTATGTTAAATTCTGCAATTTCAAGCATAAATGGCTACTTTATCTTAAGTTCAAATAAAGTGGCAGTTATTTCATGTCAAAACTGTACCTTATGCTGACTTGTGCTGAAAAAATCAACATACCTTTAATTGCATATTAGAGCGTACTGGTTCCCGGAAGTTTGATAGTACAAAAACAGGAACTTCTGATCTGAACAACAGGCCAAATGAGTCCTCCTATTAAAATTTCCTATACTTCTTTATTATTCAAATAAAACTTTCAACAAGGGTTCTACAGTGACCCCAAGTCCCCAAGCTTTCATTTGATACTAAAACTACCCAAATATTCCCACTATTGACAAAGATACAGCTATGCGTAGGAACTATTTTGTTTAAAATATGTACTACTTTCTTGTATGTTCTTTCCGACCGGGCCTGAATTAGTGGTTCTATACCTATAACAGCACCAAACTTGTTATATTGACTTCTGCTTGACTTAATTTCCTTCTATGATCTATTTCTAGCATAGAAAAACACATAAAGCTTTTGTCAAAACACTATATCACTGAATTCAAGCTCAAATTGGACTGGTAGTAACATATGCGTTAAACAAAGAAAACTACATATGGATACTTATAGTGACAGATATGACACTTTTTCAATTTTTACCAGTTATGATTTGTTAATATCTACTCAAATAACAGTGTTCTTACCTATATGTCTTATTTTTATCAGAGATTCTTCCTTGAATATAAATACAGTGGTCCAAACATAAAATATAATTGATAATTTTGTCCCCCCTTTTTTCTACATGTTGGAAAAGGAGAGTGATTAGGTAAAAAAAAACATACTTTTATGTATAAACATGGATCAACAAAGCAATTTATGTATCTCCAAGCTAGACAACTTGCTAAAATGGTTATAAAATGCATTTCAAGTGAGATTTTGGAATTCCTATATAAGTATACACCAATTCTCCTTGAAATAAATAATTCACCAAGAAACACAATAAAACATGAACACTCACTAGATAATTTGACCAAAAACAATATTTATACTATAAACTAGTCATAATATACAAGTTTCATTGGTTTCAGTGTTAGATAATACAAAAATTTAAATTTCAGGTAAAATCTTAACTGTGTGCATGCTAAATGACCAAAAAAGGCTAAAATACCTTATTGTAGCAATTTGAGGGCTGTAATTTGACACTAACATAATTGTTACATAAAAAAAATAATGTAACATGATTTCTGACAACAAATGTGACCAATTTTCACTGTAAAGGGTATGATTTCTAAAAAAAGAATTTCACATGCCTGTCAGTAATAGGTCTAAAACCACTAATTTATAGCCCCATTGCTTTCTATGTTAAATTCTGCAATTTCAAGCATAAATGGCTACTTTATCTTAAGTTCAAATAAAGTGGCAGTTATTTCATGTCAAAACTGTACCTTATGCTGACTTGTGCTGAAAAAATCAACATACCTTTAATTGCATATTAGAGCGTACTGGTTCCCGGAAGTTTGATAGTACAAAAACAGGAACTTCTGATCTGAACAACAGGCCAAATGAGTCCTCCTATTAAAATTTCCTATACTTCTTTATTATTCAAATAAAACTTTCAACAAGGGTTCTACAGTGACCCCAAGTCCCCAAGCTTTCATTTGATACTAAAACTACCCAAATATTCCCACTATTGACAAAGATACAGCTATGCGTAGGAACTATTTTGTTTAAAATATGTACTACTTTCTTGTATGTTCTTTCCGACCGGGCCTGAATTAGTGGTTCTATACCTGAAATCAAACAAAGTTTAATTTTGGACCCTTTTGACCTCAATATGAACCAATTTGATAGCGGGCCCACAAAATAAAAAATCTAAATACATGGTAAGATTCAGCATATCAAAGAACCCCATATATTCAATTTTTGTTGAAATCAAACAAAGTTTAATTTTGGACCCCAATTTGGACCAACTTGAAAACTGGGCCAAATATCTAAAATCTAAATACATGTTTAGATTCAGCATATCAAAGAACCCCATATATTCAATTTTTGTTGAAATCAAACAAAGTTTAATTTTGGACCCCAACTTGGACCAACTTGAAAACTGGGCCAAAAATCTAAAATCTAAATACATGTTTAGATTCAGCATATCAAAGAACCCCATATATTCAATTTTTGTTGAAATCAAACAAAGTTTAATTTTGGACCCCAACTTGGACCAACTTGAAAACTGGGCCCATAATCAAAAATCTAAACACATGTTTAGATTCAGCATATCAAAGAACCCCAAGAATTCAATTTTTGTTAAAATCAAACTAAGTTTAATTTTGGACCCTTTGGACCTTAATGTAGACCAATTTAAAAACGGGACCCAAAATTAAAAATCTAAATACACGGTTAGATTTGGCATATCAAAGAACCCCAATAATTCAATTTTTGATGAAATCAAACAAAGTTTAATTTTGGACCCTTTTGACCTCAATATGAACCAATTTGATAGCAGGTCCACAAATAAAAAATCTAAATACATGGTTAGATTCAGCATATCAAAGAACCCCAAGAATTCAATTTTTGATGAAATCAAACAAAGTTTAATTTTGGACCCTTTTGACCTCAATGTGGACAAAGTTGATAATGGGGCCCAAAAATCAAAAATCTAAATACATGGTTAGATTCAGCATATCAAAGAACCCCATATATTCAATTTTTGTTGAAATCAAACAAAGTTTAATTTTGGACCCCGATTTGGACCAACTTGAAAACTGGGCCCATAATCAAAAATCTAAATACATGTTTAGATTCAGCATATCAAAGAACCCTAAAAATTAAATTTTTGTTAAAATCAAACTAAGTTTAATTTTGGACCCTTTTGACCTTAATGTAGACCAATTTGAAAACGGAACCAAAAATTAAGAATCTAAATACACGGTTAGATTCGGCATATCAAAGAACCCCAATAATTCAATTTTTGATGAAATCAAACAAAGTTAAATTTTGGACCCTTTGGACCTCAATGTGGACCAATTTAAAAACGGGGCCCAAAATCCAAAAACTTAATACTTGGTTAGATTCAGCATATTAAAGAACCCCAAGAATTCAAGAATAAAACCCCATTGAAATTGATCAAGAAATAAGCAATTTATACAAAGTATCTTCTTTTGCACAATACTGTGCAATTGAATATTTCTTGCTATTGTGCAATACTGTACAATTGACAATTTCTTGCTATTGCGCAATATTGTGCTATTGGATATTTCTTGCTATTGCGCAATACTGTGCAATTGAAGATTTCTTGTTATTGCGCAATACTGTGCAATTGAAGATTTCTTGCAATTGTGCAATACTGTGCAATTGAAAATTTCTTGCTATTGCACAATACTTATTATATAATAATTTACACATCCTGTTTGGTGTGTATCTCCTACCATATCATTATTATTTGCTTTTAAATATTAATCAGAAATAACCAACTTAAAATGGAAAATTTTAAAAGAAAAAAAAAAAGGAAAAAAAGAAAAAAAAAGAAAAAAAAAAATTCCCCCCCCCCCAAATTTTTGGAACCCCCTTAGGGATCATAGATTTATTCTTACAAGGAAGCTCCGAGCATGCTCGGAGGATGCTCGGAGCTTTTTCAGTAGGCTCTTCTCTGCAGTTTATGTGAAAATAATTATCATGATCCATTAAGATGTCAATCAAATCTACACCACTTCTATAATAAGGAAAGTAAAGCATTATAGAGGAAGCTCAATTAACACCTGTGTAAACATCTAATCTATTCAAATACATTTTGCCTGAAATTTTACAAAACTATAGAATAGATTAGAAATTCTTCAACAGTACTGTGTAATGCTTTTAAAGAAATCTCAAGTCTCCACAAAAAGTGAAAGTCATTTAACAAAAAATATACAATTATTATATTTTTAAAATAATCATTTCTTTTTTTATAATAACTGATCTTTAACAGTACTGTGTAATGCTTGGAAAGAAATCTCAAGTCTCCACAAAAAGGTGAAAGTCATTTAACAAAAAATATACAATTATTATATTTATTAATCATTTCTTTTTTTATACTAAAAAAAATTCTCAAATTTTATAATTAGATGATATGATTTAAATATAGTTTATATTATATAATATGCTACATAAAAGTTATCAAGACACAAACAACAGTCAGGGGGTGATACTAAACAAGTTATTTTTTTTAGTTACTTAATATATATTAATAAGTATTTTTTGT